TTCCCCCGGAGGAGCTGGAGGAAGTGTCTGGAGAGAGGGAGGTCTGGGCATCTTTGCTTAGACTGCTGCCCCCGCGACCCGGCCCCGGATAAGCGGAAGAAAATGGATGGATGGATGGATGAATCTTTTATGTGATAGCAAAAAAAAATCTGCTTTCATGTGGTCATTTTTAAACATCTGTCAGCTTGGCGCCTGGAAAATTTCTCACTACTTTCAGACAATTAAACAAGAAAATAACTGAAACTAATTGTGACTAGCAATACTGTCGGAATGAGTTTTTCTCACTTTGGCCACTCCGTGCTTCTGTAGCATATCATTACCTGAAGTTGCAGGAGTTTTGCAGGGAAGACCCACCTCCAGGCCGGACTGTTCATCAGGGACAGTATGCAGTCCATACCAGTGAGTCTGTGGAGGGCTCGCAGCAGGTAAACTCTGTGCCAGTCATTACCACAGTACTCACACACCGCTCTCACCTGCAGCAGGTAGTGATTGTCCACCTCTCCAGTTTTGCCTGCAGCTCAATGAAAAACAGAACTAGTTCACTGATTTTACTGAAGTCCATTTTGTTCAAATTCAAACTGCAGCACTACTGCAGAGCACAGTTTTGATTAAAGTCAGACCCACCTTGAGCTTCCTTCAGCAGACGGGCAGCAGTGCTCAGGCATATTCTCAGCCTGGCTACGCTGAGCAGGAACTCTGCCGGGTCCTCTTGTCTGTCTGGACTCTGTTTCCTGGCCACTCTGCTCAGGAATTGGATCTCTGCCTGCCTGTGCTGTTCTCTACTCTGTTCTGCTTCTCTCACTTCTGAGCACAGCAGAGAGTCCTGAGGCAAAAGGCCAAAATATGCTGTTTAATATTGGTCAAAAATTCTCTGGTGCCAAAGAGGTGACATTCTTATTTCAGCCATTAAACAGAAAGGTTTTAGAATATAAACAGGCACAAAAGTTCAATATATAAATACACTGTATATGCAGCTGAGATGTCACCTGAGTGATCTTGTGCGAGCAGCTCGCCTCTGTGCTTCTTGTTCTAATGTCTGTTTGGATCAACGTCTCTGTAAACCCCCCACACTGTTATGAGGACTAGTGAAACTGCCTGCAGCTGGGCCAAGTTTAGATTATTATACTCAGAGAGTGCTTTGTCAGAAGCACCAGGAGATTCTGAACTTTGACTAATTTAACTGGGTTTATTCATGTCCCCTGGCAGAGCTGGATTGTAGCGGCGTGAACCAACTGATTTCTGGTAAATAACAATGGGGAATCTTGTACCTGAAAGCAATTAACAAACAGCAGGTAGAGTTCAGTGCGGTCCTCTCTGCCCAGAAGGTTCTCCTCCAGGTTCTTCAGGTAGGTGTGAATGTGGGCCTTCACCTGGTCAAAGCTGACAAATGTATGACAGTAAGCCAACATGCAGTGTCTAGAGAAGTGTCTTACCTTAGCTACAATAGGCACAAATCTGAGATTCATGCTTCATTTGACTGTTTCCGTGGTTTCTTAATATTAGTGCTACTGCTTTCATATGAGCATGGGGTTTGAGTTCTTCCTCATGCTTGCTGGATTCATGCCGCTACCTGTACTGTAGCAGCAGTTTCGGCAGCACGGATCGCACCACGGGACTGTTGTCCACACACTCCAGGAAGGGCGTGAGCTCTCTGGTCCTGTACACATCTCCTGCATCACACAAAGGAATCTGTGGGTGAACACTTACTAAAGCATCATCTGGCATCTACAGTAGCAATTACTATGCACAGATTCCTTCACTAACCATTGGCAGAGACCAGCAAAGAGAAGAGGAGCTCCACCACTCCCTCTCCAGGCCTCTGCCCCTCTGACAGACAGAACCTGGACACCACCTCCAGGAAGAAGGAGTTACAGCAGCCCCTGATCGTTGCGTGCTGTTCAAGTGCTGCCCTGAGAGTTACAGAGGAGGGAGACTGTCAGGCTAAAACAACAGCATCAGTTTCCTGGTACTCTTCGTATGTTGATTCCCAGCTAGTTGTAAAACCACTGCTAATCATCATTATTAGTGACTCTTCTTACTAGGAATTCATTGTTTCTTTTAATTAAGTGGATAGTTAAGAAAGAGACCAGACTCTCTGTTGCTATTTTTAAAATCATTTTCACTCATTTTCCCACATTCAAATTTATTGACAGTGTAATTGCCACTGACAAATAAAAAACAATTGCAAATACCAAAGCTCTGCACCTTCATGAGCATGTTGAGCTGAGTAACTCTGCAACTGAGACACATGCTCTCACGAACAACACATTGCTATTGACTATTTTAACTTATTATTTGAGCTGACAACCTTCAGCAGTAAATGGGACTGTCACTAATTCTTCTTACAAACATTTAATAAATTCTTAAACTGCATGACATATTTTGTAAAAGCCAAATTAAACAGTAGATGATGTTTTGTGATTTGCTCCTTTTTGAGTTAAATTGTATCTGAATGCAGCAGGAAATGGACACATGACACCGTGATGAATATGAATCTTTGAAAAATTATTGCAGTAATGACTGTAATGTTTTATTGATAATAATGAAAGTGAATTACTGTATGCTATTTTTCCCAACTCACTTGATGGTGTGAGAAACAGCTGGCTTGAAGTTGGGTGGCAGCGCTGCCCTGCATTTAGGGCAGGAGCCACTGTGTCTCTGAATGCAGTTCTGGAGACACGGCAGACAGAAGACGTGCTGGCACGGCAGGACGGACGGCTCTTTGAGCTCACACAGGCAAACTGGGCAGGAGATGCCAAACCTTTACAGAAATAACACAAAATAAAAGATTAATAATATCACTATGTTAAGAGACAAGACACCTGACTTTGTACACTACAAACAAAACTTTTTGTTGAGCCTTGCTTGTGGTGGTCAGATGCTTTTACCTGTTTCTAATATAATATTCAGAGAATCTGTAAAACTGTTTGAAGTTGTTAAGGCACAGGATTTATTAAAATGATGTTACTTTTTCAGAATGAGTGCAGAAGTTCCTGTAAACATACAAGAGCTATGAATATAAATACTGACCTGAGATCTCTGCTGATGCACTCATTGTGGAAAGAATTGAGGATGCGAATCAGTTGCCGCAGTGTGTCCATGCTCATCACATCTGGAGACTCCTGCATCAGCTGTTAGAAAAAACATGTCTGAAAATGCATCTGGTTGTTTCCCCACTTATCTCCTGCACATCTGACATTTTACTTTTGTTGTTGAAGAAAAACAGTTGAGATGTTTACAACTGTGTTTCCTGCTCTTAGGAACAATTCTCTAGTCTTTTCTTGTTCTTTGGTATTATCTTCATGATAAAGCTAGTGAAGTAAATAAATAAAAAAGTCGTGTTGTGCAGGTCGTTATTAACTAAACTGATCATCAGATGAAACCCAGTTCAAAGGCTCCAAGACAAAAACTGAGACTAAAACCATTGCACATACGTTTAGGTGAAGGTTGCAGTGTTTGAGAGCCAGTTCTGCCAGTCTGGAGTCATTCTGCTGAACTTTTAAAACAACGTGCTGGATGAATGATGCAACAACCAGCATCCCACGCCACAGTGACCTGAAAGGCCAAACGAGCTTATAAATAAACCTCAGACAGACAGAAAACTTTCTCTCCTCACCATATGTCTCAGCAGACTCACCTGATGGAGTCCAGATGCTGCAGACAGCCAGGGCTACAGAGGGTACTGTACTTCTGAGCAAATGCTCTATCCAGACACGGCTGCAGAAACTCCACTCTGCTCACAAAGGACTCGCACTCTTGCAGGGAATTCACAGCCAGAAGCTTGGTTTGCTCAACGCAGACACCAAGAGCTAAAACGTCCTCCACCTACCAAAAACAAAAGACATCATGCAATGACTCACTGTGTGTTTCAGTCTCCTGTTTGCCAAACATAATTCTCCCCTTGACATTAGAACAGCGGGAGCACCAGATGATGCAGTTTGCTTGTTGTTTTACTTCAAAAATCATATTTGTCTTGGTTCAGGCGTGATGTGGTTGTCTCCCCTCACAGAAACATACAAACCCAAGCCTGTGCCTTTTGTACCTATGCTTCAATAACCATTTCACATTTCAGCAAATAAATGCAACAGTCAGAGAAAGTCAGTGGTTTCAAATGCAGTCAGATTTTTTAAATGAAGCCAGTGTCTTTCTCACCATTTCTTGGATGTCCCTCTTTGACCCCTGCTGAGAGACATCGGTGGCTAGCTGGGGCTGCAGCAGAAATATGTGGCAAAGAGTGTCCAGTCGGGGGGCAAAATGTTTGGCAGCAGCCATTATCCAGGCAGGAGAGAGGCTGAGCTCGACACCCATGGACATCTGAAGCTCAGACACGCAGCCCAGCAGGGCCCTGGTGAACACCTATATATGACACGGGTAAAAGGACAAGACTATTTGGCTGTTTCCAAAATGTATTTCACCTAAATGTGTGTCTCATAATGTGTGTACCCGCAGCTCGCCCTTTGACTTGATCTTCAAATAAAGCAGCAGAAAGTCTTGCAGATAGTGATGGCAGTGCTCCAGCCGCTCCTGGCTGGAGAGTTTCTGTAAGTGACTGCCCAGCCTGCTGCTGCTGAAGGTGCTCACAAACTGGAGAATCCTTGCTGTGCAATCCTCTTTTATTACTAAGGAACGGGTAAGAAAGCCAAAAAAAACCACTTTATAACTGCCATGATTTATCCACGATTTAGTCAATGAAAACCCCAGTGAGACCAAGACAAACCTGGCATAAGTTCTGATTCTTCCCACTGGCTCTCAAGGTGCATTGTGATGATCCAGCTGAACGGGGCCGCACACGGTTGTCCTTCACCATCCAACAGGAAGTAATTCTGCACAAGCACTTCCTGGTCTGACTCACTAGTAAATATAAAAACCAAAGAAAAATAATTCCTTTTGTTGATTAAATTAACTGTGACAACTGCACAGAAGAAGTAATGACCAATACCTTGGGTTCTGGAGAGGTGTAAGGTTTAAAATCTGTGAATCTCCCAGGATGTCCAACCACAGCTGTACCTGGCCCTGGCTGAGCCTTTCGTCAAAGAGCAGGTCCAGATTCGCATACCTGTCCATAACTTCCAACATGTTGGCCAAGATCGGAGTCATGGTGGACTGAAGGCAGCGCCACAGGGTGTGTCTGCCAGACAAACAAAGCACAAGACAGGGCATTCGATCGACTCCTTGACAACCGCAACCTTACAGAGAAACCATCTGGAGGGCACACAGCTCTGCCAAGACTGCACTGTCCTCTAACTCCTTTTCCATAAGCTGAATATTTTCTTAAACTGTGCATGCATCCTGATTTGCATTGAAATACATAGCTATACAATACATGTGCCACATTCTTCCCTTCAATACGATCACTAGTTTATCAAGAACAGTGAAAATGGTCAAAAATTTCCTGTCTAGAAATGTTGTTTTAATTTCTTGTTCATCACAAAAAACTGATCAATTGTTCCAAGACTGATGGAACACTCATACAACAGTTTCAATAAAATCTAACAGACATGATGGCCTGTGTGGATATAAAATATTCTGGACTGTCTGAAAATGAAGGATTCCTCTCACATGATCAGTTTTAAAGAAAAAGAACAATCACTCTTAACCGAGCTAATTAGGTTTACAGGAAGTTTACTACCACATCTGAAGGAGAATTTACCTGAGAGTTCCCCCCTCTTGTAGAGCCTGGCGCTTCTTGGCTTCTATGCTCACCCACTCTTTAGGAGAGCCCATCCTCTCCTCCCTCTGCGCCAGGGCCTCGGTCAGTCTGCTCAACAACACCCTCTGAAAAGGAGCTTCAACAAAGATTGTGGTTTGTCAGAAACAATTGAAGATGCAATAACAGAGCATATGCTTTTACATGAGAGACAGGTGGCGACAGTGGCTAATGAATACATGAGGAGTGAGTGGTGCTGATCAGCAAATCCTCTCAGAACTGTGCAGGCACTGTGTTTTGTGCTACAAGGTAGTAAATATGTAAAGTTGACAAAAAAACTGTTCAATATCATTTACATATAGAGTAGTAGTATATGAACTACAGTCAGTATTTGATAATTACCTCCTCTGTGTCCTTGACCAGTTCCTAGAAGGCTCAGAAGGATGTGAATCCGCCGCATGCTTCGTGGCGTTATGTCATCGGGGTCCCTCAGCAAACCCACAGCTTTTTGGATGCATGACCTCACTAAGGACAGGCTGTGGAGCTGGGCTCTATCTCCCTGTATGAAAGCCAATTTAATTTCTTTTAAGCAATATTATAAATTAAGATTTATTTTATGTTAACACATTAAAATATATGTTCCCTTTACCTGAGAGTCTTTTCTGTTCCTCTCAATTTCTCCATCTTCATGGTGTTCTAGTAAACAATACAGTTTATTTTACATTAAAAATTATATAGAGAACAAAGAACCCACTTGTAATATAAACACACATTTTAATTCCCAGAAGATGTACAGTTTCTACCTGACAGTGTAGGCCTGAGCAAGCTGCTAATTAGAGTTCCGCAGAAACCCAACAGGTTCAGGCTCATGTCCTCTGAATCCCTCAGGTCATCAATATGCATGGAGTGCCAGGCTCCTTTGAGGCAAAAATGTGGTTTTGACCTTGTCATATTTTCTGGATGATGCAGCCAGAAAATAAACCGTATTGCAATAACAATCAAAATCCACTTAGTGCTCACCTCCTTGAAAACCAATGTACTGAGAGTGACTTGGGATCCTGGACACCTTCACAACATAAATCACCCAACAGGTCTTCTCCTCCAGGGACATCAGGTAATTTATGGTGCAATATCTGTAGGCAGATGGAATCACAAACACACCTAAAAGACGTGCAATGTCAGATCAAAATCAGGTCTGTTCAGGAGCCTGAAATCAAACCCTACTTTGCTGATGCTATAAGCTCATCACTGCAATGTGATTCCTCAAGGTCCATCTGGATTAACAGGATATGAAGAGAGGGGCCAGCATCTTGGAGGAAGCCCCTGACACAGAAAGGAGTATAAGAGAAAGATGAAAAGACAAAAGACAAAACTAAAATAAAAATGCAATGCTGCTGTTATCTGCATTGTTAGTACCGTATCTTGTTATAGAAGGAGACCTCAGTGTCAAACTGGTGAAGAGAGAGCAGGAGTATCCTGTCTGCAAGCAGTCCTAGAGCATGAGCTACAACCTTGACATCTGCTCTGGTTAACAAGCTGGAGAATGTTGTTATCTAAGCAAAACCACAAAGCAGACAGTGATGTCAACAATGTGTAAAGATTATAAAGAAATTCAAAAATCTAATCTAGAGCAGTGCCTTGTGGCCTCCTACCTCTATAAACTTGCTGGACTCCTCATGCTTGTTCAAGGCCTCTTCCAGGAAATCTCTCAGTGAGTGGTGATGCTGTTGTTGGAAGTACATTCTCTGGAGTTCCTCCTTTTCCTGGTTTGCTAAATCTGAATATTTGAGCCTCACCACAGCGTCAGGGGTCGCACAGGTCAATAAGAAACTCTTGGCTAAACTCAAGACTACTTCTTCCTCATTTTCCTCAGAAGACCAAATGTCGCTTTCGGTCTCCATCATTTCTTCACTCTCAGACATCACTTTGTCATCGTCATCACATATCTCAGTGGATTTGTCATCATTCTTTTCTATTAAATCAGTTTCTATGACCACTGTATCACGCAGCTGATCACCCTCCCTCTCAGTTGCCTCTTTCTGTCTGTTAGAAGTTGATGCAAGTGTTTTGTTTTGTCCATCTTCTTCTTCCAATGAGTTGTGTTTTTCGCCCTGCTGATGTTGTCTTCCTCGACTGTCTCCAACTTTGTGCGCTCTCCTTTCAAGTGCTTGCAAGAGAACACTGGCACATGCATCACCATGGAAGCCAACAAAAATGTCAGACAACCTAAAATCCCTTGAGGCCTCACCCGCAAATTCCTTCACCCACTCCCTCAGGTTGTGGAGAACCCTGTGTTGCCATGGCTCCAGATCGGTACTCCTATCCACCCTATGTTTTTCAAGCCTGTTGATGAGAGGCACAGGAAAGTGCTCATACACCTTCTTTTGGTCCTCCACTACCACCAGTCTAAAGTTTGTGTGAACACGACATTTGACTCTGTGGGAGCCCAGTCCTAGATCAACGTATTGCTGCTTACTGAGATAAACATAATACTGGTTCAAGGCATCGTACAGGCTTTCATAAAGATTCTGCATGTTGAGGAGGATGACTGTGCGCCCAGTCTCCATGCATGTTTTCACCCGGTTCACATTACGGCAGATTTGGGCGTATTCCTGGTCCTTTGGGAATCCAGAGCCAAAGACTATTTCAGGTGATGCGTAGTCTCCTTTGGCAAAGATTTGGTGCTGAAGGATATGAAGTGCTGCGTTATTAGTGGTCAGCAAAAGGAGATAACGGCTCTCCTGGTCAGTGTCGTGATCAAGATTCTTTTTCACCATTTGCAAGGTACCTGGTCTGGGTATTTCTGCAAGGTTTTGGAAAACCTCTTGGAAAAATATGACAGAATCAAAGCCCTCTGGCTGTCCACTGAAATTACGCAAGATGGCCTCTACCAACTGTCCACCATCTGGTTCTTGTTGTGTAGATTTGACTGCAGCAAACAGCATTTTGACCAGGCTGTAATAATCCCTTAGACCAAAAAACTGATTCTTTGAGGTCTCATTACAGATGCTCAAGAAGGCCTTCGCCAAAGAAGGGAAAAGGTGTTTGATTTTGAGGAGAATTTGGTTGGACGATGAACAAATTCCCTTGGCAGTTTCCACAAGTTCATCCTCACTCGGATCCCATCTGGACACAAATATTCCTCTGTTCATCTTTGCTGGGTCAAGAGCCCAGTTGGAAATACCAACAAAGCCAACCTTCATGTGTGGCTCTGGCTTGTCATTGTCAATACAACCATCCTCCAGCAGAGGATGAAGGGTCTTCAGGGGCATCTGAGGAGAATCTTCCGCTAGTCCAATCTCATCCAGCACCACCACTGATACATACTCATCCATGTTTTTGTCCTTCTGAAAGCGGGCACAGTTCCTGAAGGTCGCTATGATTCCCTCAGGACTTGAATGAGGACTGCACTGGAACGAGACCATATGTACTTGCTTAAGATTCTTGAACAGCTCACAATGGGAGTTCTGGCCCTGCATGGCATCAGCAACCACTGTCTTAGCAAGTGACTTTGAGCTGCCTGGCTTTCCAACTACAAAGAGTGGAATCCTGAGCTCAATGCAAATCACCATGAGAAACACGTTCTCTTTGAGTGCAACATTTTTGGCTATGGTCTCCCTTGTCTGGACATTCTGAAGGAAGAAATCTTGACAGGATGAAATCTCTTCCTGCAGTGCTGTTGAAGAGCTGAGAGGGTCTGGGAAGTACCTACAAATTACAGAGAGGTACTCCTCCTTGCCCACTAGAGACGGGTAGTAGCAGACTCCAACTGCAAGAATCAAGCACTTCAGTGTCTTATGAGCCTCACTGAGACAAGAGCAGTTGTTGAAAAGGATCCCACTATGCTGATAAAACCAAACAAGCACATTCATAGACCTCTCCACATCCCTGAGACTCACAAAACTGCACTCATTTTTCCGACTTCGCATATATTTCTGGGAGGCTGCCAGTACATTTGAAATGATGTCCTTGCAAGCCACTGGCAAACAATGGTCATTAACTTTCTTCTGGACAATCTGTCTGATGTAGGAAAGTTCAGTTGAATCACTCAGCTGGCCGAAATCCCACACCAAAGACGCCATGCTTGGAGGCAGAGGATGCACTCTGTACACCAGCTGTCTCAGAGGGACTCTGCCAAGGCGGTCTTCTGTTTCATTTGCCTTCACCCTGTATCCTAATCCTGCACGTTCCAAACGCTCCACCATTTCAGGGGAGTGCTTCCTGTAAGGATTGCAAGCGGCTATTATTTTTAAGCCACTGTCAGCCTTCAAAGGTTCTCCTTTCACTGATTGGTCACACAGAATTTCCTTGATGGCAAAAATAGCCTCTGTGGTGTTGGCTTCATCAAAAAACAAAATGGTGTCTACCTTGTGCATTCTACGGTTTTCCTCAGCAAGGATCTCTGCCTCCCTCACCTTTCTGTAGATCATCTCAGCTGTAGTTCCACCATGTACCTTGACTAGTACCATGTTCTCTATTGGCCTCTCATCCCTCGCCAGAGCACAGAGGAAACGGACTAGTCGAGTTTTTCCACAGCCGGTCTCTCCCATGATGACAACTGGAATTCCACATCGAAATCTCATGTGTATAGCCAACATCTTCATTACGTTGTCAGCAGTGAGCTCATATGTTGGGTCAGGATCAAATCCCTTTTCCATCATTCCTTTGCTTGCACCAACAACACATGAAATCCTTTTGATTTTGTGTGGACGGGGCAACTTGTCAAAGTTCTCTTTGAGAGAGATCCCTTGCCTTTCCAAACCTTGAAAAAGTTTTTGTGACATCACATTCTCTATCAGGACCCTGTTGCTATGAGGATCAACTGCACTGAGTGTGTTTTGCCTTGGACACTTCTCCACATTAAAGCCAAGGAAAGACATTGAGAATCGGTCCGCATTAAAGAAAATGTATGGATGCGACTCATTTTCCCAATGCTTACGAATTGTCAGTCGGGCAAGAAGGTCATCTTCTACAATGTTTTCAATATGCAGTACGGAGCTTTGATCAGATGTGTTCAGAGAGGGAGAGGCAAAATCTCTTGCCATTAAAATCATGAACTTCACAATAAAGCCCTTGAAACCAGGCAAGTGATCAGCCAGAAAATCTGGATCACAGAAAACTGAGTTCTCACAGTCTTTCAACTGCACATTGAGAAACCAGGAGAAGTTCTTTAGCTCAGCCCACGATGGATCTTGCATTCCACAGTATAACAGTAAATGATTGAGACAATCAACAGGATTCCCCATTCGAGACCCTTCCTGGTACTTAAAACGATCCAGGTTCTGTTTCTGCTTGTACAGCTTTAAGTATTGGTATGGTCTCTGAATCCCCTCACTGCAAAACTCCTCCTCATCCATGAGTGGATCAAAGGTCTGTTTTGTCAGGACCCTTTGACCGTCCAACAGCTCGTTCACCTCTCTGGGAGGTCTACAGTGGATGTTTGGCAGGATGTCAAGAAGCCCAAGACTGATCTGTGTGAGAAAATTAAACACTTGGATAGATTATTTATGAAATGATTCACTTTGCAATTTGGCACTGCATTCACACAGAGGCAGAATTTGAACTTCACAAGCTCTCCAATTCCACAGACCAAAGTTGACAAAGCTTTTGAATAATTTAAGCAATGCTTGTAAGTTAGATACTGTATATACAACAAAATAACATTTAAAACTACATGTTCTGACAGTTCCCAAGCATACTGATCTGAAGGAGACGTCGCTACCTCTTTTGGCTGGTTTTGAAGGGGTGTGCATGTTTTCAGGACCTCAACAGTGATCAGGTGAGCTGGGTTCCTCCTCCACAGCACACCGTGGCTGTTGCTCAGACAGCCCAGCACTAGTAGACGGAACAGGAACTCCTCCAGACCTGCACGGACCTGGCAGGTAACAGAAGGAAAACAGAAGACAGACTCTCAAGCACAAGCAGCAACACAACCAGCTATGTGCAGAGTTCAAAGCTGGCATACTTACTCCAGCGGTGTCAACATGCAGGAGAACAGGGTCCTGCTCTCTCAGTGGTGCCAGTTTCTCTGACAGACTTTTAATCAAGGAGTCTACATCAACACTTGGCTCAATCAGTCTGATCCTAATATGTTTTGCTCCGGGAGATTTCTGCTGGAACCTCTCAAACAAACGATCCACATAAAGGGATTTTCCTATTGATAAATACAAATTCTCTATCAAGAAAATTATAATTCTAATATAGGAACTGGAAGCCCCTGTGTGTAAAACATTATAGGATCATTTAAACTGTTCCATGTTTTTGTTTGTAGAAAAATAATGCTGTCTCAGTAGAATTTGGTCTCTGTGGATCTCCTAGAACCATTGGGAGCGTCCAAGGTCACATACAGTATGTTTAAATCCTACACATAGGGGCTTTACAAATGTCAGAATGTGTAAAATGGCTGCATTTAACAATATAAAATGCTGTGTTTTATACAGCAAACAATTTCTATTGTTGTCACTATTGTATAAATATTTTCAGAATGGCATGTCCCTTACCAACTGCAGGACATACAGATGACACCATCCAGACTGAGAGTTGTTCTGAAGAAACCAGAGCGACTGGGTTTGGAGGGAGTGTGTTTTGTCTGAAGTGGTGATGTAGATATTTCCTGGCAGTCTGTGCCGTTAGGCTCACACCAGCCTGTACTTTGTCACTGCTGAAGAAAGAGGGTACATATCTGTGCTGGTGCACAACTGGACTCACTATTACCAAACGATACTGTTGGTTGGCACTTCTCTCGAGGGCCTCAAAGAGCTCCCCAAGGGCCACACTGACATCATATCCCAGCAGCCCTGGATTGACAAGAGAATATATTTTGTGACAGTTTTGGCTCGAACTTTGACCAAGAGTTCGGCGGAGAAAGATCTCCATCTCCTCCTCTGTGGTCTCCTCTCTGCAAACTAGAACCTCATCGGCAGATGGCAGAGGCTGCTCTGGACTCTCCATATACAAAGAAATGATGGTGGTAAAAATTTCTGCAGTAGGACAAAGCACAAGGTTGGGCTTTCCCTCCTGGAGAAACTGTGGGAGATTCCTGATAATGAGTTGCTGGTTCATATCAGAGAGACATGAGAGGAAGTGGGCCAGCATTGAGATGTCCAAGTACTCACTGAGGTACTGTGGCATGTCCTTCTTGAAGTGACTCCAGAGGCTTTCAAGGTCATCACGCTGCCTGATGTTATCAGAGTGATCATCATATTTCATAACATCATCATCACTTTCGTCCCCTGAGGAAAATTCCATTAAATCACGAGGTTCCTCCATGTCCTCTTCAGTGGGTTCTGGTGAAGGTTGGAGCTCTTCATCCTCAAACTCAACATCTTCCAGTTCATCCTGCTTTGAGGTCATACTTGCATTATTGTAAGCGACTCTGACCTCAACCAGGGTGCACTGAGGCTTTATGGGAAAAAGTAAATGCCATAACTGTTGAGGAACTGTTGCCTGTCGATGACACACTTTGTGTATCCAGTGGCACAGGTACACCATCTGCTCCGAGGTGTAGTGGTTAAGCAAACTGAACTTGGAGCGCATCTGACTGATGAAGGCACACCATTCCTTTTGGCAGCTGTCCATGGAGTGAGCCAGCTTCTGTAGCTGCTCGGTCAGCTCGCCGTAGTACTGCATCTCCTTACCCTTCAGAGATAAGTAGGTCACTTTGATGCATGGTTGCTGTAGTGGACAGCACTGGGCTTCAGCATGCCACTCCCTGAAGAGCATGTTTCCAGATGTTTGCATCTGGAGAAGAATGTTGCCAAGTCTCTGAACGCCTTCAAAAACCTGGAGTACATGTGAACAGGAAAGTAGGAATTTATAGTTTTCTGAACAGATAACTTAGACCCCCGAAAGATTCCAATCTTTACTTTGTTTGGTTTAAGCTCCACAGATGTTCTAGAATAACAATGGATCAAATAATGACATATAAAGCTGTGGAGAATGGAAGCATTTAGCAGCTAATGAGTCTGGCATTTTTCTGGAGTCCAAACCAGAGCTAAACGAAGAGTCCAATAGGTCTAAACAGGGAAGCTTGGTTGCAGTTAAGTATTCATATTTGAGCTGAACCATGATTACATGGTTGAATGTGGTTAGAGTTTAACACTGAGATATTGGATTCAACAAGCAATGCAAAGAAAGTTAGGCACTTGAGCTTCAAATTTTTATGTCTTATGTTTACCACTGACCTCTGTGAACCTGTTGACCTGCTCTCGGCCATGCTCCCCTTTGGACGACATGAGCATGAGTTTGTTCTGTAGCTCCAGCAGCGCTTCAAGCTTGTAGCTCTTCTCCTCTCTGCCCCTTTTCACTGTGACCTGCACCATGTTTTGTAGACACCTCTGCAAAGAAGTGACAGAGAGAAAATCCTGCAAAAATGTCTTAAATAATTTGTATTAATTTAATCAGCAAGCGATCATTTTTCATGGTCATTTTAACTTGATTGTCCACTTACCTTTTCTGTGTTTTCTTTAGACCATCCTATGTGATAAACTCCATGAGCATTGATAGCAGAAGCCAGGGAGAGGGAGGACTGCTCTACAGAGCCATGGGTCTCCTTCAAGGCTTTCAGCCAGCTAAGCAGCCGTGTAGACTCTCTCTGGAAAACAAACCCAGTTGCATCATTGTCATTCTACCACAGCAGCAGGGTCTAATGTACTGCCTACCGATAAGGGAGAAGTACTGTATATACCAGTTTGTCAGGCAGCTTCCCATCTCGACTTTGGGTGTCCCACACCTGCCGAGCACATTTCATGAACTCCTCAAAGCCAGCTTGAGAGGACAGGGAGTAGAGCAGAGGAGCATAGCCCATCACTGCATCATGGAAACAGGCCACCTGGTCGATCTCTGTGTCGTTCTCTCCAGCGGATATGGAAGCCAGGTCGACATAAACCTTCACATCGCTCATGTCTGTTGAGGAAACATGACAGTGAACAGGCAGACTTCTGCAAAATTACAACACAATTTATGTTTCCGCATGAATGTGGAGATGATTTTTACGCAAGCACCGTACTTTTAAGGTTCTCTTTGACCCAGATGATCAGAGCTTGGCTTGCTAGAAACTCTTCCAGACAGGCGGTGTGCTGCTTGGTGACTGAGGAGAGCTGCTGTTTGGCACGCAACAGGTCAGGACTAAGAGAGCCCAGAGCCCTCTGCTTAAAGGGCTCTTCTACCTGTTAAACAGTCGAGCACATATTTCAAGAATTATATATTTTTATTAAAAGGATGCCCTAGAGAAAAGTGTTTGCTTCTGCTTGACATGCAGTCATGTATCATCTTTTAAAAGTGCTTTCACTACTAAATCTGGACAGGTCGCCAGTCTGCCACAGGGCTGCACTACTAAATGTCACTGGAATGCTATTTGTAACTGACCTGTTGGTGTGAGAAAAGTCTGAATAAACAATCTGATATGCAGATACTGATGAATATTTGGATTGGGATATCTCATTAAAAGTGTTAAGTGCTGTCAATGCATCTTGGCCACCCTTAACAAAAATGTGCATTTACTTACTAAAAAAATCAAGTAAATCTTTATGCAGTTGAGTATAAATTTCTAAAATCATTCGCCACCAAATGTCACTTTCCTTCCCCCATCACTATTTTATAATCAGCAGTGTTGAATATATTTCTCCTCGTATGTGAGTGAAAACTAAAAGGAGAGAATATGTGGAAGAACAACAGAGAAGAAAACAGGAATAACAGTGTGTGCTTTCTTTTGGCTTTTCACTAATAAATACAACTACAGTCCATATTAAATGTTCAGCTAACACAACTGTTACCATTTGGCTGAGTGTGTCAATTTCAGTGAAGTTCCCAGAAAGCTCCATTTGTTCAGCGATCTTCCGCACTGCACTGGCTGCGGCTGCTGCCTCATGGAGCTGTCGATACTCTTGGATCTGACCGAGCCTCAGCTCCACCCAGTCCTCCTCAGATCTGAACCTTCCTGGCTCAGACAACATCTCTGACATCAGACTCAGCTCCTTCTTCATTAGTTCCCCATCGCCCTGGTCGCCCGACTTCACCAAAACCTGATCGAGCTGCTTGAAAGTGATGTTTGCATTTGCAAAGCTGTCACCGAGCTGCAAGAACTCCGTCAGCAGAGGATCCCAGATGTATTCACAGACCTGTGTAAGTGATACCGGAACAGGAGCTGCAGAGGGCTGCCTTGCTGATGCCAAACGTGCAGCCCCTTTGACCCAGGAAGACAGAATCAGGTTGCTGTGATGCAGTCTGTGCATCTCACTGGCCATTTTCAAGACTTTCAGACTGACATTACACCAGAGGACCCGGGGAGGGCCCGTCTTCGTCAGTTTCCCCTCAGCATCAAAGGACTGAACTAGCACCAGTTTGTTCAGGCTCACAGTCTGGAGATCTGCATCATGCTGCTCCTTAAGAGCTGCCATTTCAGGAACTAGTTAAATAAGAGCCATGTTACTGAACACATAAAACAGAACCAAACACTTTGCAAATGAACATGAGCTGAAACTGGGCTATTCAGTTTTCCAGCTCTACTCACCTGTGATGCTTTCTGTAACCTTTGCAATCATCTTTATCAGTGTATCTATCTGCTCTTTCCGCTGCAGGAAGGAGTTCAGATCCTTCTCTCTCTGAGCCAAAATAATCTCTGCATCAACAGGAACAGTCCCAGATTTGGTATTTCTCTTGTCTGTGGAAGACATGATGCAGCTGGTATCAATACATATAGGGAATATTATGGAAGGCTGCTTGTGATGTTAAAGCTTGTTCGTACAGTGCGAGTAAAGCCTCTTAAACTGCTCTTTGTAGATCAGGCATGTCTGCAGGTGTCCCAGGGCTATGTGTCCTTGAAGCAGAGACTCCACCAGAGATTGCACTGCGACCACACAGCTGTGGACAATCTGCGCTGCAGAGTCGTCCACCTGGATCGACTTCCAATCACCTGGGCCACGACAACGACAAAGTGACGGTTATCAATCTTTAATGGCATTGATAGTAACATTAAGGAAATAAGAAACAACCATAACTAATAAGTTATAAAAGGATAAAATAAACACTGCACCGTGAGACAGTAAGTGGTTCATGGCGGACTGTGGATGGAGCAGCTGGAGCACCCAATTGTCACCAAACCGTGCTGCTGACTCAACCACAATGGCAGACACGATGGCAGCAGGAAGCTCTTTCACCTTGTTGAGACTCCGCAACAGGTCCCCCTCCTGCTGTCTCTGAGAGCATTCACATATACAGATCATTCACTATGTCAAATTCTGGGTTTTAATTAGGATTGAAACTACTGGTCATTTTTATAAACAATTAATCTGCTGATATTTTTTCAGTAATCAATTCTTCTTATCAATGTTCATCTTATTTTGCCTCAGGTGACTCTAAAGTTTTACAGGAAAAAGAGGAAGGAGCCCTGTTCCATGACAGATGGACTGGCAATAGTGTTCAGGGTCAATTTACATTATGGATAATCAGGATTCATCGTTTTGTCTATGAAACATTTTTTTAAAACTGTCAGTGAGCTGAAGGTGACGTCTTCAAATATTTTGCTCAACCAGAAGTTCAAAAACCACCGAACACGCAAACAGAAGGTGGATCTTCTCTTCTGAGATATTTTAAAACAGTTGGAGAAGTAGCTTCTTCACAATATTGGACTGAAGGAGTTCGATGAACAGAGATGTTAAAGTGCACCCAGGAGACAAAGCTGGAGTGTGCATCTGTCATAGGACCTGAATCACCCCCAAATCAAAAATCCACCATCCTGGGAAGTGATGCACTCTGAACAGATCATCCACATGTACCTGGCATATTGTCTTGATAGCAGACTGACACAGCTCGTTGAAACAGCTCTGTGCAATGTCATGGCTTTTCCTTATAGCTGCCGAGGTCGGTTCAAGGCAGCAGAGCAGAACTTTATCCTCATCACTTGACTGCAAAGAAAAACAACTTAGATGAGGTGTGACTAAAAAGCAGGACCGGTAAGATCTATTTTACACTCATCAATCCACAACCACTGACCTTGGAAATTCTCTTTGTCAGGTCTTTTTTCAAGCTCAGCCTCCAACAAGATGAAACTTCCTCAGTAGAGCATTTCACCTTCAGCAGTGCATCCCACATCTGACAATACAACCCAGTTATTATATAAAAGACATTATATGTTAGACCTGGGTTACCTTCAGAAACTCAATATGCCTCATCATGTTGGTTTTTATTTATTTTTATCTTTTATGTTTATTGGTAAAAGCATTTGCAGCACAAACACTACAGAGTAATTTACTGTGACTGTTTTTCCACTCTGGTGCACAATCAGCAGCTCACAGCAGGCTGCCCACCATAAAATGAGGTGATCATTGTTTTATTTCAGCCATGCACAAAAGAGCCATGCATGACAAGTGTTGAAAGAATGAATCCAAAGTCAACTAAACTAACTTAGGTGCTGGCAAATAGTCTGATGAGCTGTGCACCTCAATTTCCTTTGGGTAGCTGAGTGATTTTGATGGTGTCAGCAGCGGTTTTTGCAGCAGGTCATCTCTCCACTCACTGACTCGCTGCTGCAGTGCATGTAGATTCTCCACCAGCTGCTGTTTTAAGGTCTCGACCTCATCATCTCTGGACTGAGAGACACAAAACAGCGGCAGTGAATTACAGTTAATGAGCCATATGAAAGCAGTTAAGGCAGGTAATAAAGAAGCTGTTACCTGGTTTCTCAGTGCATCATTGACAATCTCAGACATTTTCAACACTAGCTGGAGGGACAGGACTGCTGCCTGGTACTGTGGGACGAGCCGCGCCACTCTGCACACGCTTATCACCACATCGACGCTGCTCATGAAGGCTGCTTTGATATGTTCACATTCAATCATTCTACAGACACAAAGCAAAAGTTAGAGGGAACTCAACACCACAGCGCATCAGTGGCACAGCAGTGCACTCTTACCTGTCCTTCTCTTTGTCGACCTGCAGCAGTACATGGCTCAAGGCTTTCTGAGTGTGCTGCACGTAAAAAGGATCATTTTCAAGTTACAGTGGTGTTTTATTAAAGGTTAAGAAGTTGTCATTTGTAGTTTTTTTCACCTTGACCATCTCCTCCACTCGGTTGTTATCTCTTGGCTCGTCACGCTTTGATAGCCTGTACAATAGACTCTGGATCAGGTGTTCTGCAGGTATTCCTGTCAGGTCTGAGAATTCAGGAAGATCCTCAAGTGCAACAAAAGATAACCAGCTCATCAGAAGCAGAGGCATCCCTTCGGCCACATGTAAGCGTGTCTTGATCAAATTCAGCATCCTCCTGTGGAAAAAAACATTATTTCAACAAAATCTGAGCATCACTTCAGGAAGAGAAAGGAAGTTCAGGTTGATTTGAGGTGAACTCACTTTCTTTTGTCAGAGTAGGACTGAATGTTCGCTCTGAACCTGCTGATACTGGTGCCAAGCTCTGACCAGCTCTCCTCGACAGTTGGACCCACTTTGGCTGCGTCGGCTCCTGGCTGTCTGAGTCTGAGAAGCAGAGGGACGAGCAGGACCACCTCCGACACCATGTTCTGAGCACAGCAGTTAATCAGACCCAACACAGTGCTGAGGGGAAGAACCAGAGGAGTGTGTGAGCCAAGCTCAGATCATAAATAAATAAAGAATCACAAATTAAATTAATAAATACTTGGGAAAAACAACATTTAACATGTTTTTGGTGCCTGCTCAAAAACTTCACAGGGCTCCTGGGGGAAGTTTAGTTACACTATCAAACTTAATGATCACTGTCTTGTGCCTCATGCTCAGGACACTTATTGTGTTGTTCACTTTGAAACAGTCAGCAGAGAGTTGGTGGGTCACACCTACACTGTTTGGAAGAGATTTGGATGTTTTGACACAGTGACTTTATGTTTATGTCTTTACTAGCTATGACATTTCTTAAGTTGTAATGGCGTGCACTGTAGAACTTGGGAAGTTCTGTGCACATACAGTAAACTTCATAACATGCCGGGATGGCTCAGTCCCAAAGAAGACCATGAGATGCAGCTGAAAGTTCGTTCCACTAGCTGTGCAGATCTTACTTCTGTGGGTGGTGGAAGGAGCTGAGCAGTTCGTCCAGGTTTTTCTTGTCCATTGCCGTCTCTGAGGACACCAGCGCACACAGCTCGGCCCAGCCTTTCACTCCAAGGCTGATGCTGCAGCTTCTTGTAACCATGAAGACAGACAGGCCCAGAACAAGGGGACCTGTCCTTCTGTAGATTCCAGGGAACTTCTCCTTTGGTTCTCCTTTTAAGATCTGAACCAGATACTCTGAAATCAGCTCTTGTGTCTGTAAATAAGAACAGTTTGGTTACTGGTGGAATACTGGAAGCACAAGCTTTGAATTCTGCTCTGTGTGTTGCACTAACCTTGACCACTGGAGGTGGTGATCTGTCTGGGAACATCACTCTTGTATGTGCAGATCCAAGACTCATCACAAAATGATTCAGTTTGTCACAAAGGCTCTGAGTGCTCTGTCTGTCCAGTGGAGTCCACTTCTGGAAGACTGTGTTCAGCAGCGTTGTCGCTGAGTCCTGCCAAGCATCTGACACTTGCACACCTTTTGATCTCCACCAGCCCATAATGCCAAGGCCGGTTTGCAAAAAACTTTGCTCCTGACAACTAATGAAGCCTTCATAAAGGTGCAGCTCTGGATGAAGCACAGGCAGGTACATGATCAGCTCAAGCCTGAAACAACAACAGAGCGATGACGTGCTCAAAATAAAAGGTTTGTTGGCCTTACCTCTAATGCTGGGGTCCAGTGGAATATGAACCCATCTTGTGGCAAGTTCTATGATCTCTTTGTGTTGTTTCTTCACACCATACTGGTATGTCAGCCAGTGGCCTCTTGGCAAGTTTGTTTCTTCAATGGAAAGGTTTGCTTCTACCAGACAGCCTCCCTGATTTTTACCACTAAACATAAAATGTCGTGGCCTCTTGGCAAGTTTCTTTCTTCAATGGAAAGGCTTGCTTCTACCAGACAGCCTCGCTGATTTTTACCACTAAACATAAAATGTTCAACATTTGTTATAATGGTACTTTTACTGTTGCTGAAAACCGAGTAGCAGTCAGCTGTGCACTTCAGCACATCAGAACAGCTGTAGATCAGATTCTAAATCTATCAGAGAACAAGTGTCTGTCAAGGCAACATGTTTCTGGACGGGTCAGGTCAATACAAGACCGCTATTTCTCTACTGAGCACAAAAGATGTTTAAACAAGCAGTGAGGTGAGGTGGGTGGCTGCATTACAAGCCTGACGGAGCATGTGATGAATGTGGGTAAGATTTATAGAAACACAGAGAAATTATCTTACACTACAGTGTCAAAGGTTTAGCTGCTTCTCTTTTCCCTCCTCTGCCACTGCTGTCAGTAATGTTCCCAGATCTCAGTCATTACTTTGGTGACTACATTTTCAGAAATGTGAGACATGTTGACCAAAAATATATAAGACCCAAGCTGAAATAAACTGGAATCGTCCTTTAACTTTTAACTGGGTTTAACCCCCTAACACTGGGCAGCTGTGCACCAGGGCTACAGCGCCTTCTGCTCATAGGATGTGAATGTAAACACATCCTATGAACAAAGCTGAATATTAACTTCACAGTCACTGTTTCAATTCACAGCTAATGTGCCGGAGGATGGAGACACTACATCAAAACATGTCCAGAAGTGTATAAACATCATGAATACTCACACAAAATGTGTAACCTGAAGGGGTAATTTCCCTGTTTTATCAAACAGAGTGAGCTTGTCGTGTTGTTGGTTGAATTTAAACCTCTTGTCCAGCACAGCGTAGATGTGAAAGGTGAACTCAGCAGGTGGGGGTGTCACTGGGCTGCGATCACTGCGAGGACAGAAAAATGCACGTTTACAATCGCAGCATCAACCACACTACTGAACCAAAGTGCTGACATCAGTCTTGCTTTCACCGTGTGCTCCGGGATGTTTCGGTGGTTTTCTCTGCCACGTTTCCTTCTCCAGACACAGCTTTGGCGTAAGATGTTGGCTTGGTACCTTTTGCAGCGTGGGAGTCTGTGGGTTCACCTCTTGCTGAAGGACTCTCCTCTTCAGGCTCTGACTCCTTATTTAGGTTTGCGTTATGCTCCTTGGCTGAACCTGATGACACTCCGTCAGTGTCTGGACTTTCATTTTGCCTTAATGGAGCATGCATGGCGTTGTCGTCTTGCAGCATGACTCCAGGTGTTTGTTTGTCTTGTTGTGGCTCTGTCTCGCTCTGTGTGTGTTCTTGTGTTGGCACAGGTGGGTCTGTCTGTGTTTCCCTGCTGCTCTGAATAACAGCTGGAGTTTGTGTGGCTCTGTCGGTGCTTCTACTTTTCCTTGTCTGAGTCTGAGCTTGCACCATTGTGGCATCTTTGTGGTGTTGCTCTCCGCTCTTTTCTACTTTTTGCAAGTTGTCTTCAGGTTGAGGATCCACAAGTTGTGGTTCCAAAGGTGCACACTCCTGACTTTGGCTGCTTATGGGCTCCACATCCACCTTGTCTGCTCCTGTGCTTTCACTTTTGGCATCTGCATCTCCTTTGACATTTGACCCACTCTTTTTTCTTCTACGATTTTTCCTTTTCTTCTTCTCTCTGCCTTGAACTTTCCTGCTGGGACTGTCCGGTCCCTGTTTCTGGAATAAATAATATGTAACTGAAAAGCACATATCTAGTTGTAAATGCTTTTATGATGCCTTGACCAGTGTTAACACACCAGACAGTTGTAGTCTGAAAGCCTGATTTCTCTACCTTTTTTCTTTTGGTCACGACATTCTCATGCTCTTTGGCTCCCAGCTGGGCTCGAGGGGAGCTCCGGAGGGTTCCAGTTCCCCCCTCCATCTGTAGCACCTCTTCTGCCAGGGGAGTCCCTCTTCCCTGTATCTGTCTCTGAATATAAAAATCAGGTGTATTTACATCGTCATCGTCTTCCTGAAAGACTCAGTACAGTCATGAATAACCATGTCAAGTGGTCTGTAAGGCCATAAACACAGCTAGGGCTGGAACTACTCATTATCTTTATCATAAATTAATCATATGATTATTATGATAAAAGTAATCTTAAAATTGTTTTTATTTTAAAATAATCTATGATTATTTTTTTCTGTCTATAATGTCACATAATGTGTCAAAACCCAGGGTGAAGTCTTTAGATTGTGCTTTATCTGAGCAACAGCCTACAACCCAAACATCTAAACCAGAGAGAGAAACTAACAACAGATCATCACATCACACCAAAAGCTTTAAATATTTGTCTTAAAGGATTAATCGAACATCAGCGTTGTTAGCTGTTACATTTCTGAGTAATAATTGGTTAATCTAATAGTCTCAGGACTAAAACACCAAACTGCAGACACATTCTAAGTTCTACTTGTGCTACGATGAGACAGGCAATAGAACACAATAGAACACCTACGACAAACGCCACTAATTTAATTTTATTGCTCATTTCAGATGGTGTGACTTTTCGTTAAGATACACAAAGAGGCTAATTACGGATACAGTTCATCAAAATCACATGACAAACATTTACATGACAATAAACCACCTACAGTAGGAGTCCAGGATACTGTACAGCACAAATGAAGCATTTAAAACGGAAACACTGGAGGTTTCCTGCTGCGTTTACCCACCTGTTCGCTTTTGACGTACGGCTTCAGGTATGTCGATCAGTTTCTTGACAAATGTTGAGGAAACGCTTGTTTCACTATCTGCCAAATCTCCTATATGTAGCCTCAAGGGAGCGTCCACAAATGTATCTACTGTGAAGGTGGCGCTTATCTCTCCACATAAGCCACCGTTTTTCTTGTCTAAACGAACAGTGTTTAGTAGCAGAAACTAACTTCACGCAATGGTCGTGTTGGACACGGCTCA